TTACTTATGTACTCATTTAATTAGACTTTGCAGGACTGTTACAACTGATTTATTATTTTATCTTATTCCATTGAAAATTAATTAATATATGAAACTTCGTTTTTTTGTGTCTAGCTTCTAAAGCATGTACTGTATGTAACACTTTTTTCCAATAATTAGTTTGGTTTCAAAGACTGTATATGCTTTTGTAAATTGTGCATTGAAGCCTAAAAAAATATCCTCTTGATTCTGTATTTACACTTTGAAAGTTTTCAGATGAATGCACTCTCAATGGAAAAAAGGAACAACTAATATTACGACTATGATATTAATTGACACACATACATCCACATATATTTAAAAAAATCAGCACATGTGTTAATAACACTGCTTGAAAAGAAAAAAATATAATATGCGACGTTTTGGGCAATGGCCATTTTTCATAGCGAATACATATATACAGGGTGCTTCAAATTTGTTTGAACACTTATGAGAATTTGCAACAACACCACAATAAATGTGCTTCCAGGATCTGGAGACCACCTGGAGAAGATTCCAGGCCACGTGTTAACAATGATGGCGAACAAGTGGAGAATCTTTGACTTTTTGAAGCTATTAACATTACATTTGTTATCATGTTACAGTGCATTATCCATTCTTTCTCCATAAAAAAACGATAGTTCCATATAAGTATTAAAACATAATTTTGAAGCACCCTGTACAGTATAAGGCGTGAGCACACATTTATTATGCAAACAGTTGCAGCATACATGGTGGTATATATGATTAGATGGTGGGTTGCCACACGTTTCATTGAGGTTGGACACACACCCACCCACCCACGTTTCACTGCCGGGTGGTGGTGGTGCACGCCTGCTATTCAGTACTGTTGAGGCGCGGCTTTTTTATGATTATAAAAATGTCGTGAGGCTCTCTTCCCGTGGGCATCGAGGCGCCATGCCCCTGGCTTGCCCGAAGACGGGACATCAAATGTGGGCTCGTCTGTATTGGATAAAGTGTTGGCTGATAACAACTATACACAGGGTGCTTCAAAAAAATGTTAACATTTACATGGGACTATCGATTTTCGTGGTTAAAAGAACGGATAACACACTGTCACGTGATAACAAAAGTTTCCACTTGTTCGCCATCATTGTCAAGTCATGCCTGGAATTTTCTCCAGGTGGTCTCCACAACCCGGAGGCATATTGCTTGTGGTATTATTGCAAATTCTCCCAAGTGTTAACATTTTTTTGAAGCACCCTGTATATCGATGATAATTTGCCACATACCCTTTTTCACTCTACGCAGGTGTTACAATGCAACGAGAATTCACACACTCCATCACAGTTTACCTTTTTTAACATTCACCAATTACCAAACATAATTTGCTATTGATGCATAACAATTCAAGGCCGTTGTTTGGCTGTGTTATCACACGCCCTGAAGTCTGAAGTCGAGTACACGTATTTTTCATTCAGTTCAGTTAATTTATTTTGGTATAGCCCTGTGAGCCGTTTGGCTCTTGAATCGGGTGCAACCACAACAAATAACAAACAAAAACACGAACAAGAAAAACATCTTAAAGTGACTATCTTAAAGTAAAGTGTTGACAACTGCACCGCGGGTGTCAAACAACACCCGTGAAACGTGTCCTGTGCGCAAAACAAAACCCCTTTGCGCATTGTGGAGAAGAACCCCCCCCCCCCCCAATCAACCGCAAGGTCGCCGTCAAGAAACCCCGTGAGCAACTGTGGGCCGACTCGACGTGCACAACGGCGATAGAGCGGGACACGACTGCGGACCGGCTTTGTCGTTCTTCGAACTCATCAGTGCGGTAGAGTCGCCAAAACTCACTGCTAGCTCTGGGGTGGGCGGCGGGGTGGCGGGGGGGGGGGGGGTGGCGTTTCGGACCGGTGTCTTCTTCATTGTGTAATGACTCCGGACTCGAACTTTAGAGCTTGCTTTAATTTCGCGTAACGTAGCTTAGGACCCCATTGTCATGAGATAATGCCGACGTGGAGATCGTGTGACCGAGCAGACCGCGCCGACGTGAAGACATCGACGATGGCCCGAGTCCCTCTCCAAAGACCCCGAACATCCCTTCTTGCCCTTGCTTTTATCCTCGTGGATTCTCCGGGGGGAATTTCCCCAGCTGTCTCTTTTGGACACCCTGGGGAATTTCCCAAACCAAGACCCTCCAGACTTGCCGGCGTCTTGTCTTTGCATCCAGCCTCGCTGACACCCTGTCTTCACCTCGAGACTTACTGACACAGTCTTTAACAACTGCAAGGCCCGCGAGCCACTGGCGGCCTCTGTGGGTGAAACCCATCATCATCATCACCACGTGCTGCTGTCAAACCCCCAATGGGTTCAAATGGTGTGGCGGAACCCTCGCACTGACGATGTCTTATCGGCGAAAGTGGCTCCCCCCCCCCCGAAATATTAGTGAAGAACAGCGAGCTACACAACAAAGGATTGCACCATAACCAGTGAAACATCACTTTCACCTGGAATTTAAACCAACAGCAGGAACGCACGACGCTCAATCGGTGGCGTAGCGGTCGAGTGCACGATAGCTAAGCCACTGACAATGCACAAACGGTGAAGACACCCCCCACTCATCATCATCATCGTGCTGCTGTCAAACCCACGATGGTTTCCAATGGCGTGGTAGCACCCTCGCACCGACGATGTCTCTGAAAAGTCGTGAAGAACACTGCTCTCAAATTTCGATTTAAAGCTTTCGTGACTGCAATGATTCATCTTCTTTGGTTCTTTCGGTAAAGTCACGTAGAATGAGAATAAAATAATAAATTGATAAAATAAAATAACACAATAATATTCTCACGACGTTTCGGCCACAACACAAGCGGCCTTCATCAGGTGACTGTCTGGTAGGACAGCGCTGTCCTACCAGACAGTCTCGCCCCTTCACCTGATGAAGGCCGCTTGTGTTGTGGCCGAAACGTCGTGAGAATATTATTGTGTTATTTTATCAATTTATTATTTTATTCTCATTCTACGTGACTTTACCGAAAGAACCAAAGAAGAACACTGCTCTTAGTTCAGTTTCAGTTTATTTTTTATTTTGGTATAGCCCTGTGAGCCATTCGCCTCTTGAATCGGGTGCAACCACAACAAACAAACAAAAAACGAACAAGAAAAACATCTTAAAGTGACTATGTGTGACTGTGCAAACAGAAAATCCATGAACAAAAAAACCCAGCAAAATATTCCTGAAAAAAAAGCACCGTACACCAACAACCACAAGAAAACTTAGATTAAGGCCATCAGTCTAACTCCGTACTACAACAAAACAAACATATCCAAACCAAAAAACTTTTCGAAATCACCAAAAAATAAAGCCATAATTGCAACGTAACAGTGATCACAGGGACTGTGACCGACCCAGAGTCCACTGCACTCTGGTCGTTGATTTTCCTTTCAATTTCGCGGCGAGGAGGCTGAGGCGAGGCTTGCGGGGGGGGGGGGGTGTAGTGCCTGGGGGCCGTCCATAAATGACGTCACGCACCCTTAGGGGGGGGGGGTCAGACATTTGTGACGATGTGTGACGAGGAGGGGGGGGGGGGTTTGAGATATGTGACGTCACATCAAAATGCGCAACTTTAAATAAATATAGACAACACGTTCGACTTAATTAAATAGACTTTTTAAATAAATGTTTTCTCCTACAACATCAGAGTGCAGCGCCACATTAAATACGCACTACAATGACAATAGTTTAAAGCGATTTGAAGCATGTTTTATTTTGGGGGGGGGGGGGGGGGGCGCAGAGCTTTGTGACGTCATATTTGAGGGGGGTGCTGACGTTTTGTAACGCCGTGTAACGAGGGGGGGGGAGTCAAAAATCGTCCAAAATTGCGTGACGTCATTTATGGACGGCCCCCTATCGCCTCTGGCACCTGAGCAAGCACCGTTGTTGACCCCCTGTCAACCCCTGAGCAATGCCCTTGCCTTATTACAGCGCGATTCAGACCTTATTGATCACCTCCGTGTCCCTTATACGTCTCAACGTGCATCCTACAAAGTCCCATCACAAGGAAGAAACACAAATAAACAGGCAGAACATTTATTTTTGTTGTCCGTATTGAAACGGCTGTACGCCGTATGGACCTGAAAACTCAATTTCCATGTACAACAATACAGGTAAAATCTTGATTTGAAGCTTTCGTGACTACAGGAATCCATACTCTCTGGTTCTTCTCGGTAAAGTCAAGTAGATAGAAAAAAAAACACGACGTTTCGATCGCAACACAAGCGTCCTCACGTGACTTTACCGAAAGAACAAGAGAGTATGAATACAGGTAAAGTGTATGGTTACGTTGGGTGTGGGGGGGGGGAAAGACAAATAACAAAAAATAATAAACCTCCGGCAGCAATGAATGACGAATGGCCTTGGACGCCGCCTGATAATGCCGCTTCTAATTACTGGCGAAACGTCGTACTCAGGATTGTAAATGTTGTGGATTTGCTGTCCTGGCAACGAATTGGCCACGTTCTGTTTACGTGACAATCCTCACTAAATGGCCGGGTGGTGGCGGGTTTAACGACACATTTAAATATTTACGCGATCTAACCTCCCCCACCCCCCAAAACAACAACAATCTGATCTTGATTTGAAGCTTTCGTGACTGCAGGGATTCATATTCTTGGTTCTTTCGGTAAAGTCACGTAGAAGGGAAACAATCAAATAATAAAAAATATAAAGCAATAAAATTCTCACGACGTTTCGACTGCAACACAAGCAATCATCATCAGGTGTGAAAACCACAGCAAGAAAATTTGAAAAAAGTGGCGTTTTTTTACTTTAGCACCACGGAGAGCGATTTGGCAGGTATTCAGATGGACGAGTCCATCTATGTTCGGAAAAGAGGAGGGGGGAAACGAAAATAATGGATGCGGTCTGAAAGCCACCGTAAGCGTGAACAATCAATTAAGACCCGAAATGGTTTATCAAATCCTTCCAATGATTGCTAATGGCCGTGAATAGTAAAAAAAAAATCGCGTTCTGAGTGTCCGCACGCGAGCTCCCGTAGAGGAGAGCATCCCGGAAGAGGCTTCCCCACCCGCCCGCCCGCCCGCTGCCGCATGCGTGAGGGAGCCGCGTAGCCGCTCGCTCTCCTCCTCCTCCTCCTCATCCACCTCCTCCTCTATCACCGTCCTTCCTCGCCCAATCCTCCTCGCAAAGCCCGGCGGCCCTCGGCGTTCGTCCCCGGCGCCTACGCAGGAAGATGACCGAGCAGTGAGCGGGCGAGCGGCGACGATGTCGACGACGACGACGCTGCTGCTGCTCCGTGCGGCCTCGGCCCAGCGTTGCTGCTGCGGAGGCGGCGGCGGCGGCGGCGGCGTCCTGGAGCCGGCGATGCTCGCGTCGCGGAGGGCAGCGTCACTGGGCGGCGCGTGGGCGCAGCTTTTGCCCGGGACAAGGTCACCGTGCAGCGGCTGGGGCGAGGGTTCGCGTGGGGCCAAGTCCATGCTCGTCCGGGGACCGCCTTTAGCCGGGACGAGGTCGCACTGCACCTGGGGTTGGTGGGCGCACCGAGGGAGCGCCGCGCAATCGCCGCGCCTCTGCCATGGCCGGCGTCTCCACGTCCGTCCCGGCCCGAGCGGGGCCGCCGTGAGCCCGCGGTGCGGTCAGGTCAGGGGGCTGTCGAGGGGGGACGGAGCCGGGGCGAAGAGGCGAGAGGAGGGCGGCCGCGCATTGGCGGAACGAGCGGAGCGCGGCGCCGGGCCCGCGACCACAGCGCAGAGAGGTGAACGGGGGGGGTGGGGGGGAGACTCGGCGGCTTATTTGCGCCGCGAGGTCGTAAAGACGTGCCCGTTGCCGGCTATAAAGCGCGCGAAACGATACATGTTTGTTGCCCGTCAAACAAAACGGTGCGGATTTGTCTTGGGAGGTCGAGTGTTGGCCGTGCGATCGTTACGGGATCTAGCTGAGGGTGGAAAGCGTTGGCCGTGGTGGCGACTTGTATTTGGGGTCAGTATAGAGGACACTACTCTGCGAGCACCAATGGGGTTGCCCGTATTGACACCCACCATGTAAAAATGTCCGTGTCGGTGGGAGAGTGTGAAGAAGCAGAATAACCTTGTGGTCACGTCTTTCTCGACTGTGCAACTGCTGAGCGATCTGGTTATGGTGAGGTGTCAAAGGGCAACGTTGATTCGATGTCTGCCAATGAAGGGGCACACTTTATATTTTGTGTTTCCTAATTAGTGTGGGTGTATCTGTCTCCCAGGTCCAATTGAAGAATCAGCACTGCTTCTTTACAGGGAGCCGCTGGCTTATATGTAACAATAAATAAGCAAAGTTCTAATGTATCATGTCTCCACGTAAGAAAATATAAAAGTACTTCCTATACAACCCATCGGCCGCACGGCCTTCTGAAAGTTCATAATTTCAGCAGCTATGATTCAGCATAGGCATACCGGACCGGTGTTGACGTTCATCTCATCAGCAGTCAGGCTTACTTGAATTAATGCTGGTGAAATGACAGATGTTCAGGCAAATCAGACCGGATATGTTGGATAAAGTGTTAAGATTCTTATTTTAGTAGTGTGTCCATAAATCGATCACCTTGTATTAACGATTAACTTGTTAAATTTTATTTTAACATTTTAGTCGGTGCATTGATGAGTAACCTTAGCAAGGATGAGTATATACATACATTTATATTTTGAGAGATGGTAAGAGCTTGGGTAGGCCTTTATCCAGCAGTGGATTGATCATGGCTGATGATAATGAAGACAGTCAAGCAGGGACTTATTGATAACAGAAAGAACCCAGAACGAAAATATGGTATTGACAATTAATATCTAACTCATTACAATGAGTTATAATGACTTAGATATGAATGAGTTAGATATGACCGGTAACCTAAGAAAAACAAACAATAATTTTGGTAATCTTATGGGGTATGACCCGCAAATTTTAGATTTCTAAAATTATTTGCGTTCTACTGTTGTATAACTGCATGTTCATATTATACCCTTTTAATCTTGGTATACTGCACAGTTTGAAATAGAGAAAAAATGTACCCTACTTATAGGTTGTGCTTAGGATTTCAAATCACATACGATATATGTACACTAAAATTAACCTTTGGTTTTCAATGCGAAATGCCATGAGATATCGCTGTGACGACTGCTTCTAATGTAACTGCGCATGTTAATGGTATGCCCTTTCAATACTGCAATGCCACACAGATCGTGGGCTATTAGCAAGCTTGTTGCAGCGGTGAATAAGTCCTTGGCAATTCTAGATTTGAAGCTTTCGTGACTGCAAGGATCCATACTCTTTGGTTCTATTCGGTAAAGTCACGTAGGTAAAAAATAAAACAACAAAAATCACGACGTTTCGGCCACAACACAAGTGGCCTTCATCAGGTGAAGGGACCGGACTGTCCAGAGGATAGCGTTGGAGTGAAGACAGCCAAGCCCAGGTTGCGTCCTTTAAGCTTGTGGTCGCGGCATCTTTTGAGGAAGGTCAGCGTCTCGATGAGCTGTGACTTCTTGTCCCGTTGTGTGTTGAAAGCTCTAACAGATAGGTGAAAGCCCTCCCCGTAGAGGTTATCAATTATAGATTTGAAGCTTTCGTGACTGCAAGGATCCATACTCTTTGGTTCTATTCGGTAAAGTCACGTAGGGAAAAAATAAAACAACAAAAATCACTTGTGTTGTGGCCGAAACGTCGTGATTATTGTTTTATTTTTTACCTACGTGACTTTACCGAATAGAACCAAAGAGTATAAAGTCCATGGCATTTTCATAACATGCTTTATTAATAGCTCTTTAAGAGGCTACGCTCAATGGAGTGCAAGTGTTTGATAAAGCAGCGACTTTCAAGCGCAATGTAGCTTGCAAGGATACGTCATAAGGAGCAAGACCGCAATACACTTTCATACTCAGACATGTAGTCGGAACACACATTCCTTGTGATGAATTTGCAAAGATAATGAAAACAAATGGAAATTGTATTAACTGTAAAAAAATTGGTAATAACCAGTGTTACATTATTTCCTCATCTGACCGAGTCACCAATCTCATAAATGCACAAAGCAGCGCTAATAAATCTGAAATTATAATGCATTAATATAATTTCCGTTTAAAGTTATTGTATGCATTTGTGTGCAACTAAATAGGCAATCAAATTGGTTCAAGATCAATAGCTTAAATTGGCTTATTTCTTTTGATCAGCCATGAGGGTCGTGAATAAATTATTGGAGGATGCATATTGGAATTAAAGAACGCATATGCAGTTAAACGGATATGAAATTAAACCTTGCTAATCGAAGGTTCTGTAATGGTTAGCATACTGGACTTCCAATCCAGATGTCACTGGTTCAATCTCCCTGAATGGCAGTTTGAGACAAGGGGGCATTTTTATTTATTTGATCTTACCTATTAGTGAATGGGCTTTCCACAGTCGATCAGCCAGTCGCGCGTGGTAGGATAAACTGTAGGTACTCCTACTTTTTCCAAGAAGTCTGGCCTACATGGCAGAGTAGGCCAAATACATCTATAGGGGCTCTATAGGGTTCCCTCAAATGGATGCCCTTCCACCAGCAGTGGCGTGAGTAATTGTAGGGCTGCACTTTTACCATCCTATGCAATGAATGTTTATTTGCAGTGAAGGATGCAGGCCGAGACTTGACGTACCTCGGAGTCATTCTGCTAGGTGTCGGGCTCACTGGTGAGTGAGGATCCTTGCACCTCTGCACACAAGGTAAATGTCACATTTGCGGAGGCTCAGTGACCTACAGGAATCGTGCTCATTAACCTCCATTCCCCAGGCTCAATGTTCAGTGACCTCACGCCAACCACTTGATAGTAATTCAATATGGTAATGCTACTAAAGCAGCGGACATTTTTTTTCGAGGGAATTCCAATTTCCTAATTGAAGTCCACATAAAAGTCAATTTGAGAGGGATAATGGCCTCGTTAGAATGCTGAGCCGGTACTGCTTAGGTCTTAATGCCTGCTTCAAGGAAAACAAGTTGTTGTATATCGTGAGTTTATTGGCTGCAGCCTTACCGGGCTTAAACAATACCAGTTGTAAGATTTCACAATTGAAATTCCATAATTGAAAAGTATTTGGTCTTGCTCACCATGGAATCCTTAACCTTTGGACTCATAGCAAAACTGTTAACTTTTGTGCACAGCTCATGAAAATAATGTTGGTTGAAGGATGAATCTATTGAAGAGATCACAGATATTTATATTAGGGCCATTCTCCAACAAAACAGCTTGTCGGGATACAATTATTAGATTCCCTTACATATATGAAATGTAAAAGTGATGTAAAGTATATTCCTGCACCAACCCGCACTGATCAGCGTGGTGAAGTATGGTCATATTATCCACATGACCCACACTGTGGGGAGGCTGTTATCCAGCATTGGATTGACAGAGTGGCTGTTTAAGGGCAGGGAATTTTTGTGAGTAAAACGTCGCTACAAACATATCTAAATTTGCAATAAAAAATCAATGTGCGCAGAACATCACTGTGTGTAGGCTGAAGAAATTGTTTGCGTGGGAGTTTGTACAGCAGAAAATTGTTGTTGATGTTATACAAGGCATTCGGAGTTCCACCGTCTGCACTGGGGTAACTGGCGGCATACCTCTGGGTTTCCTTAGAGTATTTTTTGTGTGTGTCTGCAGGCGCCTTGCTCTACCCAGTGTTCATTGAGCTGTTCTCCTCCTGGAGTCCCAACAGAGTTTACACATCTGCCTTGGGACGCTGCCGAGACCACCCCGAGGTCACACAGTCACACAACCGCTGTGCACTTTCTCCCTGGTGTAAGGGTTATAATTATAATATTTCACAGGACAAAGTATCCATTCGGATATATCACAGGGCAGTGCCACCGTAGATGCTAGAAGAATGGCTGACATAAGTGGATACATCTTCTTGGTTCTTTCGGTAAAGTCACGTAGAAGGGAAATAATAATAAAACAATATTTTATTGCGTTATTTCCCTTCTACGTGACTTTACCGAAAGAACCAAGAAGATGAATCCATGCAGTCACGAAAGCTTTAAATCAGAAGTGTATACCTCTGAAATCTATTCAAGTAACCTCAGGTCCACAGAGTAGGGGTCAGTACTTGTCCAGCGATTGTCGCATGACAGTCAAACCGATATATTTAATTCTCGGAGGGTGGTTTAACCTCACAGTGCTTCATAAACAATGGGAGATTGAAAGTTTGTGCAAAAAAACAGAAACCTTTTCTTTAGACACATTCAAAATGAACAGGCTCAGGTGAGAAAAATGAGGATTTACTGAATTGTTACCATTTCTCAGCGTACAAACGGTGGTCACGGGATCAACGTTTCCCTCTTCCATCTCATTGCCTGCAGGTCATGGCTGCCCTTGGACTGCCGATCAGTGGCTACGGGGAGACGACACGCCGTGGCCGAAGGCAGCATGTCAGGTAAAGCCTTAAATTGGCACACGCTCGCACCACTGCAGTCGAACCAACTTTACCCATTTATTACATGGCCAGGGGGGATGACCTGTACCCATTTGTACGCAGCATTTTTAAAGGCAATGGTGCCAATTTAAGAATTGTATTTGAAGAAAGATGCAACCCACCGTGCACAAACAGGTTGGGATGGTGGCTTTTGGGGGGGCTATGCAGTGGGCAGTAGAGGGCAGTGTATAAGCATTTATTGTTGTGCTGTGCTTCTTTGCTTCATGTTTTTATGCTCGCCCCCTTGACCGATGCACAATGACCATTGTATGTATACATGGTTGTGGGGGTGGTAATGGTGACATTGTGAAATATGGGACGGTGTAACCATTGCACGTGTGTGGGAAATACGTGAGGCTACCGGCAAATACTGTGTAAACATGAAGGTGGTTATCTGGGAGATGTCTCCTTTCCCTTTAATGAAACATACATGTCACACAGCCAAATACAGCCTAGGTGCAAGGTCTACAAGATAAGACGTGGTCGTTTTTTGGTTGAATTTCCGCATCTTCCTGTAAACATATTTTTGAACCATACAAGAATATTGTATGATCGTTGTGGAGAAAGTCTGCATGAATGCCGGCATCAAACGCTTTGTGAACCCTGGAAGAGATTCAGTGGTGCACACCCCTTATTTCGTACCATGTTGGGACTCCAGCATGACAGTAACCCCATCCGTAATTTATGGCCCCAACATGATTGAGTTGACCGTGGCGTGACCAGGGCAGTAACCCTCAACATTGACCCGTAATGCAAGGTAAATGTTAAGAGAGCCTTACACAGGAAAGTCACGTCACGATATGTTTAGCTACGCCGTCTTTGGTGTAATATGAAAGTGGGCCTTTTCCTACACGTGATCATTTATACTTGTAGAATGGCCTGAAATGCCCCGAGTCTATAATATTTTATTTATTGAATATTTTATTTCCACACCTGGACATTTTAGCCGTCTTTAAAATTGTATGAATTGCGACTGCGGGGCTCTGCTAGAAACAGCTTTTCTTCGTAACGTCTCATTGAAAATACATGGGGAATTTGAACTAATCAACTAGTTTAGATGAGGTCAAGTAACTTTCATTCCTGTTATTTACATTTTTTTTAAATATTACTTTATTATTTTTCTCAATGTTTATCCCCGATTGTGCTTTTGGCATTGTCGCGAGACAAAGTATCCAATTGGATTTCTCGCAGAGCCCTGCAACCCTTCATGTTATAGGACAGCCTAGGGAATGGCATATCAAGAGCTCCCTCTGAAATACCTTCAAGTGATCTCTGGTCTACACAGTAAGAAGGCAGAATTTGTTTTACTCGCCCTGCCACGGAGTATCATGTTCGTTACATTCGTCAATCCGATCATTCTCAGCTGAAATGTAAATAAAACAGCGCAGAACCAATTACATTTTATGGGGTGTCTGCAGTCATTGGTGACTAAGGAATGAATTCACTTGATGTAAATTATTTTTATTTCCTTTTTTACTCAGCCATTTGGAGTTCGAGCAGGAAGGAGTGAAGCACATGCGTGTCAAGTTCTACATTAGTGGTAGCGAGCCGATGGCAAAAGGCACAGTCCACGCAGAGGTGGTGCAGGTGGGTTTACAGCACAGCGCAGTGCAGGAGCATCTCCCATGTAGCCGACTTAGCCTTGCCCCATGCATGCCACATTTGCATGACCACTGGGAAAACGTGCCTGGTTTCACAGACCGGGTTTGCCAGCTCGGCTTGTGTTCCATTGGTAGCCATATTGTGCTGGTCCAAAACCACTTGGGTGTGGGATGAGAGCTTAGAGCATGCATGTAATCGATCCGCTTTTCCCCAGCTGAACTGGTCATGGTGCCACAGGATCAATGCAGAAACAGGATGCGTTGTTAGCGATATCCATTGTTCATCTAAATTGATGGCAGTTATTGTAAACGAGTCATTGAAAGTTTACAAAGTGCGATGTCAAGCCTAAATTAACTCATGCCCATGTTAAACATTGTAAAAACATTAACCTGGGCCGCTAAGCCCAGTTTTCCATTGGTCATGGAAATGTTGCATTGGACTAACCCGAGTGCCAGTGTGCCCATTACAGAGCACTCTTTAGATGCTCGTAAGTTTGAAAAGGATATTTAGTGCACATATCTGCTTAAACCATCTCATAGGGGTAAAAAATAATAAAGTTCTGTGTAGCTATGAACAGGTTAATTCACAAATTAACTGCTGTTAATATGAAGGACTTCATAACAGCAGCAATTTAAGTCAATTCTTAATTTACATTTGTATCTCACCACAAATAATGATTATTTGCTAAAACATTTGCCTCCTTTAAGGCATCGATATGGAACGAAACATGTTTAGTCAATAGTCAGCCGTGAAATGTGATAAATATACTGTTTGAAATATACATATATGAAAAAAATACTTTATGTTGCATTTTGAAAATAATAAACATTTGCAAATACCGTATGCAAGTATTAACTGGAGGTATGTATGCATGTTTGTCTCTCAGACTCCAAAAGGCAAGTTTGAGTATCGATATTTGTTTGTGGAGCTGGAGACTTATCCAAGACGCATTATAATCATAGAAGACAACCGCTGATATTCACCACACGGATGCACAGACACATGGTGCACACCTGCTTTTCGAACTTTGGAATGTTTAATTTCACAGTACAAAACCACGTGTACACACACACATGCACCATCTTATGTTCTGCATGGGAAAATGTAGTATATGCACAAATATAACTATAATTTTACAAAACATGTTTGAGCCAAAAGGAATTTGTAAAATTTTTGCTCAAATAACTTACACACTTGATTTATAAAATGCAGAACTTGAATGTGTGAAACAGAAAATAAAGCAAACAACATGTCTAACAAAACAAAGATTCTTGATCTGGTGTTCATTGAAATATTAAGTAATTTTAGAAACTGTAATTAGGTGGTGAAATGTATTATATACTTAAGATAATGCTGTGAGATTCTATGCTGCAATGTTTACACCTCATTAAGGATCCTTGAGCCCATAATAGTAATAAAGGCACATGTTACAATTTACAGAAAATTGTCTAAAGCTGTCCTGCTTTGCCAAGATTGGCATTCTACATCAGTTAATATTATGCCAGTAGGGTTACGGTATTGCATCCCTGTTTCCTTTAAGGCATCGATATGGTACGAAACATAGACATGTTATCCACTGTATGCATTTTATCCCCTGTAATACATTAACTTCACCTGCTGTGGGAAGATTAAGGAACGCAAGTGATCAGTTGCACCACCTGCCTTATGTGCTCTTTCTACATCCTGAATTTAATGCAACTTGCAAGGTCGTCCCCACTGAAATTAAATAATTACTGAACCATTTAAATATTTTTTTTGCAAGGGCTCAACATATGGGTACAGATTTGGTTGCAGTGCACTGTCCAGACTGATGTCCCTGATGAGCATAGAGGCCATCTGCTGTGCAAAGTTGTCATGCTCGGTGTATTTTGAAGGGGTTGATGGGGATTGTTCGGAGAACCTGATTCTCAAACACAAACGTTTTGATTCTCTGGAAGACCCAATGGAAGATGAGCAGAACGCTGACGTACTGCACCCAGCCAAACTTTATCTGCTCCCAGAAGCCTGGCTGGTAAGTGTCAATAGCATGTTAAGGCAAAACCTGAAACTACGCCACAATTACATTTAGAAAAGCACATGCCAGCTACTTGCTATGCTGGTCAAGTGTCACAGGGACATCATTTAGGCACACCATCTGCTAATTGGCACGGATATAAAAGGTCCTTTAATAATTTTCCTACTGCTGGCATCGAGAAGAACTCTGAACTGTAATTAACACGTATGGCTGCACCGAGTCATGGATAGATTATAAACATAAAAACATGAAAGGTAATACTGGACAGGAAATACAACTGGGAAATTCTGAATTGATTCCTAAGGCTGCATGCAGGTCTTACCATTGTATACTGCAAGCTGTAAAATAACAATTATAAAACGTAAATGTTAATGACCACAGCTGTTAACGTATTAAGTTGTATTGTTAGTAACAACCGTTAACACATTTACTGAAATTATTTAACTGCAGATTTATTCCTGTAGAAATTGCTGTCGAGTTATCAGCGTTCATCAATGTTAAGTATCGTACAATGGTGAAGGATATAGGATGGTCTCCTCTGGGTAGCGGATGAGCAGGTTAATGACGAAGGGGATGGTACCAGCTCGGCCCGACTTCCACATGGCCATCGTGTTGCCAAGTACTGTACTCACTGAAAACGCAAATTTACAAATGGAGACAGTATTTAAATAGAAAATAATCACATTTTTTCTCTCTTCCTACCTTTTGTAAATCCAATAACTTTATTCTGGTTCTTGATGGGGAAAATGTAAGTATTGCCCCTCATCCACGTAAAAGTGTTTTACACATTACACACAGCCTTCTGGGAGTGCACAATTTCAACAGCATTGGGTCAATACGAACAAACTACCTTTTTTGACATTTAGTGTTATCAGCAGTTAGGCTTACTTGACTAATGATTGATATCAGTTCTTTCCTATACGCAGTTCACCAGCATTTGTATGAATGGCCTATCCACTTTGAATTGACTATCACAATGACCTGTAATACTGCTGTGTGCAACTTATACATTTTTATTTGCAGCCCTTAATCGACTGCTGGATGAAGGCCAAATGGGTTATGGGGGTTTGCCCATAGTTACCAAGCTGGTAAGTGCACGTTGGTAAAGGGAGGCTCAAGACAGAATATCGAATGTAGGTTGCTGGGTTCACAGCACAATGTGCTAACAGCACCACCACGATTGTGTGTAGTATAATGCACAGTAGCTCACCATTCCTTTCCTGATAGGCGTGGATTATCTCGGTAAAATCGTAAGCTTCGGCAAATGGACTGCTACCATTGACCACTGAAACCTGAAGTGAAACGTGAAAAGGAACAATATAGAATTCAATAGTTATTGGTATACGTTGCGAGCATGTGACTACTTGTCAGTGTAAACAATCTTGTCAATTATAATGTGTAGGTTGGCTGTAACTAATAACAAATGAAACTAGTTCTGTTTCAATAGGACAATAATCTGTTGTAGTTTTGGGCTTCTGAAGATAACCTACATATATAGTTTTAAATCTGAAGATTAACTACACTGCATCGACAATTGAGGATCGGGAAATAATTAAGGAAATGTTTCATAAACTAAAACTAGAGTCTCTCTTGGCAATGTATGCAGTAACTTACAGCATATGGCGAGTATGTGTAAATGATTTGTTCAGGTTTAAGTATGCGGTGACTGATCAGCTGTTCATAAGATGTTGGGAGGAAAGTCAGACAAGCCAACGGTTATTAATGGATGACAAAGCATTGCCACTGGTTGTACATTGTAACGCGTGTCCAGGCCACGGTGAGCAAGTGGCTCTCGCTGCCGAAGACGCAGGTCTCCATTGACGCTCAGCTCAGAGCCATGCAGCGGGGAAGAATGCTGCACCAGGGCCATGCTCTGCATCACCAGCGTGGGCATTCGCTGTACCCACATGCACACATGCAGACCACAAGCTTGTTTATTCACAGGAGACTGACCATATGCTTATGCAGACACATTAACACTCAAACCAACAATGAAAATGTGTTTGTGAGGTGCTTACAAACAGCTTGTAGGAAAAGGTGAGCAGAAGATGCACACCAACCACTTCATCTGCAGCGGTCATTGGCATGGACAGGGAACAGTGTAACCGGTCTGCTTTTCCGTCCAGATTCACATCCTCCTCCCTCGCCTGTGCCAGTCAAGCATCCAAACATTATTTCACTTAGCAGCTGTGGGCTCATTCAAAAGAAACGTACGAGGTGAACTGTGCATAATAATTTTATGGATAAATGACTTCCCGTTACTAAATACAGCGAAAATCCACTTAACCTCTATTTTTCACACCTCCAAATTATACATCTCTCATCTGGGTGAATAGCCATTCTTAAACATGGTTTAAAGGAGTAAATCAGAAGTTTGCAAATTCATGCTATCTGTGCACAGTTCAAAATCATGCATTTGGTCTGTACACAACAATAATATAAAAAAAACTTTTTTTAAACACGCTTTAATGAAATGTACCGTACTAGTAGTGAAAGAACTCCACGACTCCAGGAAGTTTACCGTGGACAATTAGAGCCAAACCGAAACTAACATAAAAAATAATGTTTTAAAATGTGTGTTTTTTTCTGATAGAATATAGTATGGTCATCAGTATGACATAAGTATACCAAGTTTGCAGTCGATATCACATTGGAGAGTGGGTAAAAATTGAGTTACAAGATTTGAGGATACAACGACAACAGAGTTAAATAAAAGCGTATAAAAAGGCAACGATTTCCAGGCCATGCGCAACTTTGGCGGCGGCAATAGCAGTAAATGAATAACACTATCTTCACGAATTCGCAGATTTTACCGAACCACTATTCACTCAGAAGCAGTCCCCCGGAAGCATGTCATCTTATTAGCCATGCTGTTTTGTGGACAAGAGTGGTAACACAGAAGTGGTGGGAAATTCACCCTGGATAAGAGGAAAATGTGGATCAGCACAAATAAATGGATCTCCCAAAAGAGTATACCCTTAAAATTAGCGGGTTTTTAATAATCGCGGCTTTGCATATTCGCAACAAATGTATTGTAGTGCTGTCTGAAATTCGCGGGGTATTAAATATTCGCGGCCATAGCGACTCCTGTACTGCACATATTGTACTAACGCATGGGGCGGTGAAGTTAGCGAGTGCACCAAAGTTTCCAACTATACGGACGTACTGTGTTATCGTTAACCGTGGCCCCTAAGCGAAAATAAATTGACATTATTAAAAGTTTATATAACACCGTATATTAATTCATATTTCTAATTATAAATGTTTATGTTCATCATTAAAGGTAAGTTAAATAACAATAATACTATACAATATATGTATGCATAAATATATGCATACGATTTATATATTTCAATGTAATATTTTATGCCCCCTAACCATATTTTCCTCATGAGCTTTCATTATAAATATTCGCGCTGCTATACAGGAACTGTTCCCCGCAAATATTAAAGTCTTATTGTGGATAATACATTTCCAAGTCATATCTCAGGAGTTGCGGTGCGGCATTGTGAAACCCAATCATTTTGATTGCGGAGCATTGTGGATAACCCTCGGCTGATATTTTCAGCTGATATTTTCGACACAAGCACAGAGGCTGAAGAATCCTGTCGCCTCGCTAGTTCTGTTCCTTCAGGAATCGCTGGGACAGACGCACGGTCACGAAAGGAGTGTGCAGCTTGGGCAGCAGAGAGTTGAGGTTCTCGAACGTGCTCCATGCGATGGGCATTGAGTTCGTCTCCAACAGCAGCATAATGTCGTAGTTGAACTTCACGGTCGGCTGCTCCACAAATGAGGCTGTTCTCAGCCAGAAGCCTTAAGGTGCATGCCCGCGGTGAGTGGAGGGGGCAGGGGTGGGATGGGAAACAAACAAACATCACTTAACTTGGTCGTTATAAACCTACAATCCTAGCCAGATGTTGCTGGCAAGGTTCATGTTTCCTGGATAATGTGCCAGCCACTGGCACTGCTGATACGCTGCATTTTTGTTTTTACAGGCAATTGAGTTTAGGCCAGTCTCAATACATTGATAACTGGATTTTCAAAGCATCTAAATGTGAACTGTACCATTTGTAGCAAGCTGACAGGTCTCAATCTGATCACCAATTAGAGGTCTTGTGAAGTGAAGCAAAAAATACTTAGGTGGTATCATCTGCCTCAGAAATTTATTTTGTCGTACAAGATGTTCTGCTGCTTCATTGTGGAAAAACATTCAAATTTTGACTTAAAACTTTTGTGACTGCATAAATTCATATTCTTGGTTCTTTCGATAAAGTCACGTAGATAGAAAATGAAAATAAAATGTCATTAAAAATAAATTAAAATAAAGGCAAAAAACCCACGACGTTTCGATCGCAACACAAGCGGTCTTCATCAGGCGGAGAGAAAAGAGGGGGCAAGCCTCCAAATGGAACTGCTTCTAAGGGCTTCCAAAGTTGTGAGTGGGCGGGGGACGAGAGCGTTGCACGGGCGGGGCAGCCAATGCTCGTGTAGGAGTACAGCGCGAGAAGTTGGAGTAAAGTGCGAGATAGAGGTGGATCTGAAGGCGAGGGGCGCAGTCCAAGTGTGTTAGACAATGGGGGGAGGGGGTAGAGATAGGGGGGAGAGGGGGGGAAGAGAGGGGGGGGAAGAGAGGAGGGGGGAGAGAGAGGGGGGGGAGAGAGGGGACCCCCCCCCCCCCCCCCCTGTGCAGCGCGTGTGTTGGATTCCGGACCCGGGGTGGTTGGGTTTTCCCACTTCTCTCGTTGTGAAGCGGTTTTCTTTGCTCTTGTCCGTGCTGGTGGCGAGCAGCTGTATCGGTTTCTTTTGCTGCGCACGCGATGACGCGCGAGGCCTTGTTTCTGGGTTGGTGGCTGGGCTCACCTGTGTCTTGTGGCGGTGCGTGGTTCGCACCTGGCCACGGATTTTTCTGTTTCCCGTTTTAGTGTCATTACGATACGATTTTTTTCTTTTTGTAACGAAATGCACGCTTGCGTTGATGGTGACGCGGTTTTTTTTCTGACTGTGGCTGTTGTTGACGGCTCGCGCGAGGGGACGCACACGGACTTTGTGTATTGGATTCTGTTTATTGGTGACTCTCGCTGTGTGAAAACCGAAACCGCCAGAGCATTTGCTGCTGGGTAATAAAGGATTTCAAAGGTAAAAAAAGAGAGGGGGGGGGGCTGAAGGCAAGGGGCGCAGTCCAGGTGTGTTAGACGACAATGGGGGACTGTGCCCCTCGCCATCAGCTCCATCTCGATCTGGCGCTTCACAGCTTTCCTTGTTGTTGCTGCTGCCGCCTCGCAACTCTCTCGTCCCCCGCCCACTCACTTTGGAAGCGCTTAATTAGGAGTTGCATTTGGAGGCTTGCCCCCTTTTTTTCTCTCCGCCTGATGAAGACCGCTTGTGTTGCGATCGAAACGTCGTGGGTTTTTTGCTTTTATTAAAAAAAGTGATATCTACGTGACTTTACCGAAAGAACCAAGAATATGAAAAACATTCAATTTACAAACTTAATTCCTTACCTGATTGGCTCGAAATAAATATAGGAGATAATTGCAAAGAAAGAAAAAAAAAGAACAATCTTTCCATATTACTAATCACCATATAATGATTATCAATTCTCATCCGAATGGACAATGCAAATGTAAATATAACATTGGGTTAAGGTGACGAGATATTTGAATCACGGATAGTATCGTGGCAAGGCACGTGTTTAAACACTCCCAGGCACATAACGCATATCAAGCACTAGATGTCAGTATGTGATTGTCTCACAATTTGAATGATTCCCCTTTCATTGACAGTGACACTCCCTGAAGGTGTTTTACGCAACTAGCCACACATTAGATGTATTTTTAGACTTGGTTTGTAATTTAAAGCAGATATAAGTTTGAGAAAACGTGTTCGATACAACTGGCCATTGCAGAGAGATGGCTTCTTAAGTCACCGTACGCACACATTAACATGTATTTTTGTTTCACAAGTCACTGCACATTGCAAAAAAAATATACTAATAATTTCTACAGCTGTTAAAATGTTGTGATTCTGGACAATTTGTTAAAGGATGTAATTAAACATGCTCTTGTATTGACGATAATGAAAGCACGGGGCTTACGTGGTTGCTAGGTAACCGGCGATTGGACGCCTCTGCACGTCTGCCTAGGCCACAGCTCTATCGAAAAATGAAACTATTTACACCGAAACATTTCTCTCTTTGTTTTTTTAATACCGTGACGCTGATGTTGTTTTACTCTCACGCGCTAACATTATTAAAGAGTCTCTGATTTTATTAAACAAAAAACAGACTGTCGGCCGTTCAGAAAGCCAGGGCCGCAAAAGGCGTCTTTGCTTGGGCGTTTAAAAAGTACGAAACGCGACCCACCTTGGCTGCGGTAGACGACGAGCAGAGGCGGAATGTAGGTGAGCAGAAGCGTGGCTACGATGAACAGCGACGCCTTTGAGAAGAGACTCGTCCTGTAGCGAACTAGAGCCGGGTGCGAGAACACCTCGTAAGCCATTGCTGCCCCTCCACTTCAAAGTCCCTAGTCCGCATGGGCGACAGCGCTCTGTCGTCGGTCCCGATTGGCTGGCGCGGCACGCTGCTGCGCTCCGTCAGCCAATCGGAAGGGGAGTCTCGGTGAGCCTGGTCTATGTGTACTACCTAATACAATGGGGGGGGGGGGGCAGGCTCAGTATATTTATGGAGGAATCCGATGAGCTGTAAAGCTCTTTTTGGCAGATGTCCAGTTGGACGTTAGAACAAATACAAAAAAACTATAGGATTGCAAAGTATAGGAAATGTGAATAAATAAAAAAATACACAAATACAATTTCGATTTAAAGCTTTCGTGACTGCAGGGATTCATATTCTTGGTTCTTTCTGTAAAGTCACGCAGAAGGAAAATAATAAAAATATAAAACAATAAAATTATCACGACGTTTCGATTGCAACACAAGCAATCATCATCAGGTGTGAAAACCACAGCAATACATTTTTGAAAAAAAGTGTTTTGCAAATAAAATTCTCACGACGTTTCGATTGCAACACAAGCAATCATCAGGTGTGAAAACCACAGCAATACATTTTTGAAAAAAGTGTTTTTCACACCTGATGATGATTGCTTGTGTTGCAATCGAAACGTCGTGAGAATAGCATTGTTTTATTTTTATTATTTTCCTTCTACGTGACTTTACCGAAAGAACCATGAATATACAAATAAAACTAAACATTTTTTTTATTTTACCATGTAAGGCCAACTCAGCTTTTAGTTTCTTTTTCAGAAGCGACCTGGCAAAGTATAGTAAGTCGTTTAAAGTAAAGTTAATTTCATAACTTTAAAAAATATTTACACAAATAAAAATTAATTCTTTTTTTATTTCACCAGGTAAGGCCCACTGAGCAATTTGGCTTTTTCAGAAGAGACCTGGCCACAAATGACAGTTCAACCAAATGGTTTATCATCGTGTGGGAATTTATAGCAGCTAAATAATTGATATAATCGAAACGCATATTTCTAAATGTGGTGGGGAAAAACGGGAGGACCCAGAGAGAGAGAGAAAAAAATCCACGCGACCCTACGGGAATAGAGACACCGCAAACTTCAAATACACAGCAGCAGGCGTCAGGGTCAGGATCGAACCCATGACCCACCTTGCACACAAGGCGAGGGAGTTAACGTCGCACCAACGTTGAGCTATTGCATCACAGCGATACACCACCTGAATGTGACATTGCAGTGGTCGCTCTGCAATCTATCTACATCATCAGCCGCACGAACGAAAGAAGAAGAATTCATACAAATGAAATTTTATTTAATCGCTCCAATTCCGTAGCATGCATGGGAAACGCGCGTGCTCTCGTTGGTTCCCATTGTCTAAGGGCAGCGTTGTACCCGCTCTACCAGCCAATCAGAAGAGGGGTTTCGTGAATTTGGTTTTTATGTGTAGCGGATAATACAAACGGTAAGATGCACTGCCTCTTTTAATGCATTATATTAACACTGCAGTCATTAGGGTCATTGTTAAAACGAACCTCTATTAAAACCTTTACAATAATTGCGTAATGTTTGGTTCTATTCGGTAAAGTCACGTAAACAACAAAAAATAAAAAAAATTCACGACGTTTCGGCCACAACACAAGTGGCCTTCATCAGGTGAAGGGACCAGATTGTCTAGAGGACAGTGCTTTACCGAATAGAACCAAAGAGCATGGATCCTTGCAGTCACGAAAGCTTTAAATCTAGAATTGCGTAATGATTATGCAACAATTTTCTGGAAAACTAATGGGTATGCAAATTTGTGTGTCTATCTTGTGCAACTTTCTAAAATAGGTGGCAAATGGCAGGTAAATATATTTATTCACTGCTGTAAAGTTTTGTGTACATCTTGTGTATGGATTTAAATACGCGATTTACCGGCGCAAATATCAGGAAAACAGATAACAAGAGGTGGATTCACGAAAGGCTGAGTCAAAACCAATTTGGTCGCTTGATTTTGTCCCCTTTTTAAAGCGTGCCAAACAGCGACGCTGCTTAAAATGAAACGATAACTCCTGTACTAATTTCGATTTAAAGCTTTCGTGACTGCGGGGATTCAAATTCTTGGTTCTTTCGGTAAAGTCACGTAGAAGGGAAACAGTAAAATAATAAATTTTTATTGGTTTATTTTTATAACTTTATTATTTCCCTTCTACGTGACTTTACCGAAAGAACCAAGAATAACTCCTGTACAGTGTTCTATTAATATTAAAGCCGTACGACTTGGTTGCTACGAAGTGCTTGCGTTGGTTTTCGCGTTTCCACTCAAGAGTGTTTATCAGAGCATTTTTTTTTAGGATAATCTCGTGCGACCGTCACAATGGAAAATGTATTCTCATGCATTTTGCGATATGTTATAATGTTACGTAATAGTAAACGTTTATTCACTGGTACAAATTGGTTTTGACGTTTATACTTTTTTTGCTATGTGTATTAAAACTACAACACTCATGGATTTGCCATGTACATAACATATACCATAATTCGATCACATTTCAATGGAAATAGCCAGTGTGTCCAGCCCTACCAATATTAGTTTGCCAGACTACTCCACAGCAGACGATCTCAACAGTCAAATCTCTACAAATGAATCGATTGGCGGTAGCCTGGGTCACCGCAAAATATTGGTGGGCCTGGCATAGTTTAAGGGTTTTTTTTTATCTGGGAGCATCGCTGGTACTACCACCCTGTCCTGCCGCCGGAGGGCGACGCTGTCGATCCCGCCAGCACGACCATGACGGCCGGCCGCACCAAGAGAGGGCCCGGTGCGCCATTGCCTCCTAGTGGTCTCGCTCCCAAAGAAAGACAAGGGGGTGGCCGCCCCCGTAAGAAGCAGAACGTGCTGGGGAATGACCAGACCAGCATCATGATGTACTTTCAAAACAAGCAATAAACAGCCGTTGCCACGCACAAATCCCCAGCAGCCACCTTTTTATGAGTGTTTTGCGTGTGTTTTTTATTTCCATATTTGGCGTGCGTATCGGGCTCAGTGACATCTCCCGTCTTCATAGGTCTTCTGGTTTCGGAGTTACCAGAAGACCTACAAATACACAATGTTGCATGGAGCTCTCACCAAGGCCTCCTAAAATGATTGCCCAGAGGCCCCCCGGCAGAAGTCAATCACCTTTTTAAAAATCACCCATTAACCCTTCCTAAATCGTTAATTATTAATTAAGACATTTATTGTCTCCTGTTGGCCCTTTTTTGTGTTTACCTGACTTTCTCAGAGATAATGTAACCAGGGCCCCGTGATGTCTCCAAGCCAGGGTCATCTCAGAGGTTGTTGGAGGCTTGGAGCAAAATGCCCCCAGTAGCCTTACCCCACTCTCTGTGGCCCTGCCTTCAAGATGTTTTCTAAACTATTGAAATTAAGCCAACGTTATGTATGTTGAACTGTTCATAGCTATGTAAATATGTAAATTGCTGAAGTTAACTCCGTTGTTGTTAAATTGGTACACGCTGTTGGATGGAGATTTCCAGGCTGGCATCTGCTACGTTTTGAGCTTTAATTCCAAAAAAGTCAGACATTACTTTGTCCATCACAACGTAATTTTAATTCCTATGTACAGTATTATTGCAAGGTTTCTGGTGTTTCAAGCGCCTCATCAGAGATGGCATAGCAGCGTCTTTTTCTTATGTTTATAGAAGCTAATTCCAAACCAAAACCTCAATTGTTTTCTAAAATACATACAGAGTAATACTGTTAATTGGTCAACAATTTACCCTTCGGGTTGAAATGGGTATTGAGATTAAATGGCTGATCTCAGCGTGAATAAAATGAAGTTACCATATTCATTGAATAATTTTAAAATATATTAACTTACAGTAGTAGTGTCATAAAACAGAATACATCTTGTACGTGTATATAAATAACACAACTTCTGTATACACAGTCTGTTGTTTATCTTATTAACAGATTTTCCAATCATGCCAATTCCAGCTTAATTCCAGCTATCTACACCCACAACTACAAACGGTGTACATTTTTACATCACTTTAATTGCTGGTGTACGAAACAAATCCCATTGCGTAAAACTGTATGCAGTCATAGCAACAACGCATTGGGTATAATTCCTCCTCCCCCATTGACTGCGGGATTCAATCTCAAGAAACTCCCGTTGTGAAGCCTCCCGGATTGCCAGGCATGGAGTTGGCAAAGCCGGGCGTGGAGTTGGCAAAGCCGGGCGTGGAGTCTGCAGAGCCGGGCGTGGAGAAGGCAAAGCCGGGCGTTGAGACGGCAAAGCCGGGCGTGGAGTAGGCAAAGCCGGGCGTGGAGACGGCAAAGCCGGGCGTGGAGTTGGCAAAGCCGGGCGTGGAGTAGGCAAAGCCGGGCGTGGAGTAGGCAAAGCCGGGCGTGGAGTCGGAATAGCCGGGCGTGGAGTGGGCAAAGCCGGGCGTGGAGTGGGCAAAGCAGGGCGTGGAGACGGCAAAGCCGGGCGTGGAGTAGGCAAAGCCGGGCGTGGTGTCGGAATAGCCGGGCGTGGAGTGAGCAAAGCCGGGCGTGGAGTAGGCAAAGCCGGGCGTGGAGTGGGCAAAGCCGGGCGTGGATTACACAAAGCCGGGCGTGGAATCGGCAAACCCAGGCGTGGAGTCGGCAAAGCCACGCTGGCACATGGAGCCGTATGCGGCAAAAAAAAACCCCCGCGTCCAGCATCCGCAAGGTCTTGAGCCACCCAACCCAACACCACCATCGCCTCCACCCACAACAACCACCCCACCACCATCGCGGCCGCCACACAAGTATCATCTACTCACATCGTCAGGAATATATCGCTGCTATGAAGTGGATGTTTAAGGAAGACCACTCCTTTGGTACAACGAATGTGTCTCGTTTCTCGTAACGATTGTGACTGTTGTTGTGTTTGTTGATGTCATCGTTGCGGCGTTTTTTTGTCTACACAATACAGTACGGTGCTTAATAATTGTGCTTTATGCCGTTCCTGTTGCTTGTGTGTGTTGATGTTAGGTGACGATGATGATGCTTTGTCCTATTCACAATATGAATTTCTCGCAGTCTGCGCGATCTGTGTGGGGGTTTTTTGTTGTTGTTTTCTCGGCGATAAGAGACGAACGAAAGCCCTCTTTTTGCTGTTGTCTACGACAGCAGAACCCCGACCGACCCTGTCCCTAATTGTCTTGGCGACAATACTGTAATGTTTAACTCGCGCTATTAACGTCGGATACGTTCATTTTGTGCCTTGTTGATGATGATGTTGTTGATGATGCTGCTGCTGTTGTTGATGTGCCGACGTTTATGCCCGATGTGTGGCAGCGTCTTGAGTATCCTCACCCAACCCCCACGCCTGTCGTGTTGACGTGCCCCCTAGCCAACGTGTACATCCGTGCGCCTTAATAACATGTGCAGGGATCTTAAGGTGAACGTCACGCAAAGCATGTTGTTTAGAAGCCAACAACACGTTATGTTGGAGCGTTGCTGCATCGTTGTGGTTTGGTGGTTGTTGTCGTTGTTTGTTGTCGTTGTATTGCACTCCGATGCTGACGCAAACTCCGTAGTTGGGTTGAAGGTCGTCGCCTTGTTTGACGATTCTGCGAATGTTTAAATGTTTTGATTGAAGGTTACTGTCGTTTTGTCGTCGTCATCGTCGCCTTCCCAACGAAGGCAATAACCGACGAGTGAACAAAGCTGTGTTATCGTTTCCATCGTCAGATGTCCTCTGTCCGGACTTCATTCGTGCGGAATTCCGCTCGTCGTTATTGTTGTACCGTTGTTGTTGTTGTTATTATTGTTAATGTCGTCTTTCCAATCGCTTCAGGGATGTATTTTTGTCTTGCACGTTCTGTTTGCGTAATGCACTACAACGGGCCCCAATGCCGCATAAGCTTATTTATGATCGTGTGATTAGCCAGTACAGTACTCCGTTTTAATTAAATTATTCATAGCAAACTAGGGGGCGAGGTATATAAAGTGAACGTTTTGCGGCATAGTGCTGGCGGGTGATCCTAGTACAATATAGTAGCAAAGACTTCTGTTTAGGTGACGTGTTCTTTGTGTTTAAGACGGTAAATGTGCAATAGAGAAAGAAACAGGTCGTGGATTTGAATGCCATTTTGGCTTACGGGTGGGGGGGGGGGGGTTGCTCAATTCTAGACCAGCAAGAGAGTCTCAAAATGAGACACCGATTCATCGGTGGCTATACGCGATCAGCCACAGGGACATCATTGTGCTGTCATCCCGTGCCGAATGCTGTGCCCCCCTTCACTAACCCGCACAAACGAGCGTGGTTGACGTATAGACCAATATCCCCTTGCGAACCAATTAACAAAAGGGTGGCAGAGGTTGGCACCGTGAACCGAAGGGAATCACGTGAACCAATGATTTGGTTAGCAGTTTTGGTTTTAGGGCCTCTTTGTAGACCGGCTAGTGAGAGCTTCACGATGGGACGGTTTGATAAAAGCAAGCCTTGTTGTTCACGTGTATGTGTGTGTGTGTTTCTGACGTGTGTTACAGAGCACAGGCGTGCAGAGTCGAACAAGATTCGGAACAAGTATCCTGATAGAGTACCTGTAAGTCACTGTGATGTCCTCCTTAAATTTCGATTTAAAGCTTTCATAGTCTTAGTTCTTTCGGTAAAGTCACGTAGAATGGAAATAATACAAATAAAATTATCACGACGTTTCGATTGCAACACAAGCAATCATCGTCAGGTGTGAAAACCACAACAAGAACATTTTCAACATTTTGTGGTTTTCACACCTGATGATGATTGCTTGTGTTGCAATCGAAACGTCGTGAGAATTGTATTGTTTTATTTGTATTATTTTATTATTTACCATCTACGTGACTTTTGCCGAAATAACCAATGAGTCCTCCTTGTCAACGGGAACTCAAATGAAATGCATTGTGGAATTACAGAACACTTGCCAAACACAAGTAATGAAAATGTGTATCTTTATATATACTGTGAAGTCTATGCCCCGCTACGATGCGGAGCAGAAATGTGGACAATGGCAAATACTGGACAATGGCTGGTGATTGCATACAGAGCTCCCTTGAAAAATACTCCTAAGGCCATCTATGATATCTAGTCTTTACAATATTGGTCAGTGTTTCAATAAACGAAAAAATCCATATCAAACATTTTCAAGCCACATATTTTGCAAGATAGTTTTCTATTCGACTACACAGTGTAAGTACACGTAAAATGTACCTTGTATTCCCAATGGCTCTGGTACATAAATACAAATGTTAGCAATTGTTATTTGCAAGACACCAGTTCGATGAGAAACAACCATCTTCAACAGCACAGCCTTTGAATGGAAACAAAGTCAGGTATCAGTTAAACATTTGCCCTTTGTACACCATTTGCTGGTTTTAATCTAAAGTAATTTGAAATTCTTGATATAACTGCACCAGAAAAACCCGGACCAAAAGTAGAATGGTAGACCTTGGGGAGGGGAGGCACTGCTGCAGCCTGTGCTGGTTTTTTAATCTGTGCTTGCTCTATGTTGGGATGTGCATGTTCAGGTCGTGGTGGAGAAAGTTCCTGGCTCCCAGATCGGAGATATTGACAAGCGCAAGTACCTGGTGCCAGCCGACATTACGGTCGCGCAGTTCATGTGGATCATTCGCAAGCGCGTGCAGTTGCCTTCTGACAAGGCCATCTTTCTGTTCATCGACAAGACAGTGCCACAGTCAAGGTGTGCCATACCATGCCAAACATCATACCATACCCGTACACACCAAACAAAACAATACCTGTGTATGATGTTGTGCAATAAGACCAGTTGAAGTGGATACTCTTACAGGCAGTGAGGGACATGAGCCCAGAGTCCTGTAATTTTCCATAATTTTAGAACATATCTATGAAAGGTAATGTTTTAATTATTTTGATTTAAAGCTTTCGTGACTGCAGGGATTTATATTATTGGTTCTTTCGGTAAAGTCACGTAGAATTATTAACATTTTAATAAAAAGCTTCCCATCAATAGATCAATAAAAGACAGTGCGCTGTGGGTGGGGCTCTCGTCCATCGTGATGTCACTTGATGGCACGACATATAGCACAATGTCGCATGCAACTATGTCATACATAATTGGATCACTGGTTTGGCTCTGAATGCAAATACATTGTGGATTCTGGCCACCATTTTGATAAAATTTGATTGGTTTTCCCAAAAGTAAGTCCCTATTAGTTACACAAAATCTATACTGTATATGTTTATGACATTATTTATATTGGATTATCTTTACGAACGTTGTTTCTCCTCTGTTACAGATGGATAATTATTTCATGATTTAAACCTTTGTTAGAAAGTATTGACTACTTGGATGACTAAAATAGGTTCTGGTTATATCATTGCATGTTGACTTCTGCACGAATATCATATCCTCCCTACTGTGAAATTATTTCCTTGCTATAGCAGTGAAAGTCACTTTTTAGGATTGTTTTCATGAAGCTTCATACTAATGTTGGGCAGTCCAGGGCATGCAGCCTTGGTGCTTTTATGCAAAAGCTTTGTTGTTTGCGTTGGTTTTAGATACTTGTACCTTGATTATCCCGTTGTAAATGTAAACTGAAAATATAATTGTTTAAATTTTAACAATACCGTGATTTTACTGTATAAATTGATTCAAGTTTAAATGTCATCATTGGAAAGTAACAAAGCTGGTTGACCCGTTAAAATGTTTAAATCATTTTAATGCAATCTGCTCTAAAATTAATTATATACATTCGCACAAAGAGCAACACGTGGATTAGAGACAGTGGAAGGCACATTACAAATAAATGTTAATTATTATTCAAACTGAAGAGAACATGGACAGGACACATTAGTATAAGGGATGGCTGATGTTCCACTATAATTACAGTAGCAGCCAAGGAACTGAATGCATCTCAGGAAGTTCGCCACAGAGATGGAGCGATGAAGTCAACTCATGTGCAGGTGCTAGGTCAGAGGTCGGCAACCAAAGTAACAAGAAGAGCCTTATTTTTCAGATTCTTAAAAAAAACAATTTCAAGAGGTGCCATACATGCGAATACAAGACGGCCCTTTAACAAATAACGTCACGAAGCGGTCCTGAAAGAGCCGCGTGCGGCTCGGGAGCTGATTGGTTGCCGACCCCTCTGCTTGGTGGACTATCACATCTCAACATTGTGAGAGATGGCCAGCGTTTAGGGGGGGAGGCCTTTATCCACCAGTCAATTGATCATGGCTGATGATAATGATTAACACCATATCCTTGTGTCCAGTGCTTCTATTGGCCAATTATATGAAGACCAGAAGGATGAAGACGGCTTCCTGTACGTTGCCTACAGTGGAGAAAACACCTTTGGACGCTGATCCCGGGCCGGTCTGCGGAGTGCATTGCAAGTACCACTTCGCCACCAACGCAGGACACAACCACAACCACAACCAAGACGGAATCACCTTCCAAACACCGCAGCCTGCAGTTAATGATCCACGTTGCTTTCTCCCCAAAATCAACACGCTCGTTAAAAGATGTGCAGTGTCGCGGCATGTCAGCCATGCTTTTACACGTCAGGACAGGGCGTGATTTTAACAGTGGAATATTGAGATTTAAAACTTGTGTACTAAATTGGTGTTAGAATTTTGTGCTAAATTATTCTTCATGGGTATATGCGCTTTTTTCCATTAGCATTTAATCTGCCTGTCATCTGACAAACCACGTTTTTTATTCAAGTTTTACTTCTATAATATTTCAGTCTTGTCTATTTTGTTTCTTACACTTTGTGGACCTTATTTCACACCAGGTTCACATTCGCGTATATATGTGCGTGCTGCGCATATTACAGGTCTTTTTATTTGTGTTTGTTCGAGTTAGATGCTGCAATCTGTAAAAAAAAAGCATTCATAGAATAAAAGAATGATAATGTATTCCTGCATGGTGACACATTTAAATTATCCTAATTTAAACCGTAATGAAAATGTATTGTTGCAATTTGTCAATTCCTGTTGCCGAGTTCTTGATTGTCTGAATGTACGTCCAATATAAGTAAAACAAAGTACAGTGTGGAAATTCACTTTGCGTCCATGAATAAAATGTAACGTTTTTAATATATAAACTTAAACCATCACAGTAGGAAGTCAGATATTAGCAAACACATCTGGGTGGTTTTCATCACATTGCACATTGTAGCTGTATAAAGTAAATGAAATATGTATTGTGGAAAGTTGTAACACATCATTTAAGGATGCTTTAAATGCCTTAATAAACCAGGCATTGTGAACTAGTTGAAAGTTTAATTGTTGGAAAATTTACAGCATTTTATCTGCATTTGTTTGATCTGTCCGATACACTAGGACCAAGGAAATGTGTGCAAATATGCATGTTGGAAACCATACACGATAGTCCGGGAGGATTCACACTGAGCTTGCATTTGAGATGTCTTCATACTCTGCCATAAAGATGTAACCCAAAAAAAACAGCAACTAGGTTGTGTGTCCTGAGGTGTACAACAAACGTTGAAGCTTTATACAGCACTGACATCTTTGCAGCATGACTCCCACACTTGATTACTGTCATTGCAGTCTTCTTTGTGCAGTGGCATCAAGAGATTATTGCCTGTGATTTTTAAACCTTTTTCTCATGAACGAAGCTTTACAACTCAGAATATGCCTGTGATTTTTAAACCTTTCTCTCATGAACGAAGCTTTACAACTCATGTCGGACATGTGAATGTGGAGACCTTGTTAAAACGCATTTCTGTACGAGAGTCCATCCAAGCACGAACCAGGCTCAACTCTGCTTAGCTTCAGAGATACAATGAGATTGGGCGCATTGCGAGTAATTTGGTCAAAGGCAGAAATATACAAATCTATAAGAAAATAACTTGCTTTTCTGGGTCGTGCTAACCTTTTAAGCAAACAGCTTTACATATAGTCCACTTCAAGTCAATGGCTTAGGTGAAGTCAAGATACTCTCTTGGTGATGACACCCATGTGCAGAAGACCTTGCGCCTGAGTTCAACCCAGGCTGTCTGATAGTCCATGGCTGCCTGCTTGTAGTCCCAGTAGCTATGCAACTTTCCTTCCGAATCCCTGTACGCAATTTTGAGGGGGAAAAATCAGCAACCAATTAGATTTACATGAACTTACATGCAGTCTGCCCAATTTATGTAAATGTAATGCCTATTTGAAGCTTGTTTGTTTAGTTACATGACACTCACATTTTTATTGGGTTTTATAATCCATACACAGCTGTCTTGTTAGTGGAAATGTACGGCATGTATATAAATGTGTGCATGTTTGTGTATTGAATGTGTGGATGTAAACACATATCATTAATATCTTAAGCAAGCGGTATTCGCTATGACCACACCAGACAGCGATGGGACTTATGTCTCACCTGAGAGATTCTGGGAGTTTGTCTTTCGGAATGGAATCCTTTAAATTCTTAAATTCATTAAACAGCTCCAGCTTGCAAATCTTACACCTTGTCAATCAAAGCACACACACACAATGCAGACAACCGCATTTTACACTCGTTACAAGCCCTCTGATGTATTTTGGGTTGTACTGTGTGTTCTGTGCTACAACCCAAAACAATATCATAGGTCAATACATTACAACAGTAAAATAACACGTGCAGATGTAGTATATTAAAAGCTATTTATGGCTTTTACGTATTATTTCTTGAACAGTTTAATTTTCTTCTTAGTGTTTCAAGCAATGCTCACCTTGCCTTTGGCGTTCCAAGCATTTTCTTGGTCACTCCCTGTCGGTGTCCATTGACGGAGACCTCAAGGGGCACTGAAGGCACGGAACACCAACTTACAGCTGCATCCACACAAGGATCCACCGCACGGGCAAGGCAAGGCACGACTTGCCAAAATGAGACATTCGTGACCTCCAACTGTTCACTCCCCCAGCATTCCCACCATTAAAATCACATTTGCCAGATCTGCACCACCTGCCTTGGGAGCAAGGCACGATTAGATTTAAGAATAGGTTTTTCCCCTTTTTTCTGGCAACAAAACTGAAACCTTTTTACAAGGAATCATGTTTGCATTAACCACAATACTTGTGGTCAGAATGCATTAAAAAAACACTAATCTTTGGTTCTTTCGGTAAAGTCAAGTATATTAAAAATAAAAATATGAAAATAACAATAACGACGTTTCGGGTGCAACACAAGCGTCCGTCATTGTGACTTTACCGAAAGAACCAAAGAGTATGGGTTCTTGCAGTCACGAAAACTTCAAATCTAAAAAAAAATACTCTCATAATATATGCATCGTCCTTGAAATTGATTGGTCTACACCAGAGACGGCTTTCCTTTGAGCCTAGTCTCCAAGTGTTCGACCAGAGGACGCCAAAAGGCAAACAGCTCTTTGGCGTCCTCTGGCCGAACACGGTTTGTATTCTGACCACAAGTAGTGTGGTTTATGCAGACATGATTCCTCGTAAAAAGGTTTCAGTTTTGTTGCCAGAAAAAGGGAAAAAACTATTTTTATATTTTCGTACTGCCTGCCAGCTGTGCTGGTTCTAGAAATATTAGTTTTGAGTGCATTACATCCAATTTTAGGAAAATTTGAAAAGCAAGGTCAACCGCAGGTAAGTGTTTTGAGCCAATTGTAAACAACTGTTTCTTGAATTTTAACAATTTTTAAATATAGGCTGGTTCGCAGGCATAATTTAAGGTAAACATGTGCATTTGGCAGCTTGCATGGATCCTGTTTATGCATCGGGAAGCCTGGAATGGAAGCCCTGTTGACATGGAACAGTGCCTGGTTGGTTGAGGGTTTATTTGTAACGGTGCAGCCCTGAAGCTGCTTACTCATGCCACTGGTGGAAGAAGGGCCTCCCCACTAGAGGGAGCTCTAGAGAGCCCCTCGAGGGTATTTCACCTCTTACTTTTTTTGAGGTATTATAAATGTGCCACAACACTCACCTACCATAAAATACAGCTTCTGCCTCGTAAAAAAAACTAATGTGTACACAGAATTTCCCTATGTTAAATATGCATTTTCTTAATAGCAGTAGCAGCAAGCTAGTGGCAGTATCAGTAAAACAACGTCCTAACCAGAAGGAGCCCATGATTGTGACCAGATAAGGGCTGTGCCTGCGTTTTGGCAAAAGTCACCGGATGCACAGGGCCCAATCCGTGCCTTTCCATCCGGAGGGGCAGTCGCCTCCACTCGTGCCCGGCTTGACTCGAACTCCAGCCGGGACTGCAGGAGGACAACGTCTCGCACCCCGAACCCAGCAGTGGTGCACTCTGCTGAGCCCCACCTGTCCCCGTAGACCAGGGGTCGGCAATCAAAATAACAAGAAAAGCCATTTTTGAATTCAGTAAAAAAAAACTAAATATTTCGAGAGCTGCAAAGTATGTGAATACGGGACGGTACTTCGTGAATAACATTAAACCATATTTTTTGTAACCACTTTAAAAACACGCGGTACAATGATTTGTAATTCCACATTACAAATCACTGTTGGGCTTTTAGACGTTCACCGTTTATGAAAAGAATTAGGTGGGGTTTTTGTTTGCTTTGCAATTATAGCGTCAGGAGCCACGAATCGGTCCCCAAAGAGCCGCCTTTGTTTCTGGAGTCACCGGTTGCCGACCCATGCCATAGACAAACCACAGGGGCATCTGTGAACCCATCCCCACGACAGCACAATCCCCCCCACCCCCATACTGTAGGTGCATGCGTCAGCTGTGGGACGTGAACATCCCACACAGTTTCAGAGTGTTTTACAAAAGTGTGCACAGAAAAAATACATCTTACAAATCGATAATTGATTGTTCTCAGACTTCTCAAGCAAGCCTTGCTTTGTAAAATATTTGTAAATAATTTTGTCATGAAAGATACTGTTCAAATATTTAGAGGTATTTCTGTTTGTGACACCTCTTTACAGCTACATTTAAATAACTATAAATATTTTAGTTTTCACTTACAAAAATGAATATTAATGTTTTTTTTTTCCCACTGACGAAATGAAAGGCAACGAAAATGCCCGTGATGCTGAATTGAAACAAGAAAAACCTGACTCCAAACATCACATTACAGAACCATGGGAGGTGGCCTCAGCAAGGGGAGGTAATACATGAATCCTGCGGTGAATTGAGGCTGCTGCTACATTACGATGCATTCGCCCCCCTGGGACGTTGTAAGCTGCCAACCATTACCCTCCCCCCGCCCCATTCCTTGCCTGCCCACAATCGCGCGGTCCATGGCGGCGTGGCTGTAGGGGCAGCGGCCCACCACGATGGTCTCCAGGCGCACGGGCGCCACCAGGAAGTGCGAGAGTAGCGCTCCCTGGCAGCCCAGCACAGCCCAGCGTGCCAGCTTGTCGCTGCAGCTCATTGACAGCGTGGGCTCACCACGGCCTGGCTTCAGGCGCAGGGCTCCTTCGTGATGGTAGTGCAAACCCGGCGCCAGCGGGTCTCCGTCCTCGCCCGGGGCGCACTTGGCACCGGTTCGATGGACGTCGAGCACGGACAGAACTGGTGGTCCGTTCTGAACAGACGTGTCACGGATGTCGTTCTGTGGAGGAACTTGCGCGGCGGTCGAACTTGCTACGCTATCGACTTTTTGTATTTTTGATGGCAAGGATGCAGTGATTGTGTCCGTCTTTCTCTTTCCTGAGTGGCTGAATTCAATGTCTCTTTTGCTGCGAGGGTCCTGGTCATCACTCTCCGATTGTACAGGCATCACGGTTGGAGTATCAGATGTTGGTGTGGGATAACGCTTGAGCCGGAGCTGTGTCCATGTCTCTTCATCCATCGGCACGATTGAGGCGTCCCCACCTACTCGGCACACGCAGCACTGGGTATGCCTTAGGAAGCAATGCCCTGGCTCTCAATATCAATTTAATGTGCATTATCTTACTACATACGCACTCATGTGTAAATGAGTGTGTTCTGGGAGGGTCGACACAAGTCTGAAATTGTCTTAATAATATATTGTTTGTATATAACTCACAGGCACAATGTACTGATGTCACTGCGGGGTCATTCCTGTTCTGTTCAATATATTATTGTGGTGATATCACTAGAGCATGCCTGACAGTTTAAAAGTATTTTTTTTCCGTGTTTAAATCCATGGGGAACATCTTGGAACACACAGCTTAATATGTACCAGGGCTATTTGAATAGAGGTTTGCATTAATGAAGTTCTGGTATTGTTCAGTATGTATGTATAACTTATTTCACACCATACGTAGCCAACCGTGCTAATTGGAGGTGCGGGGAAGGATAACAAACTAACAGAAAAAATAAAGTATGAATGTGCATGAGCATCGAGGTTCATTTCAACCATTGCAATAGTTTGGGAGTGGTCCTCCAGTGGACAACACACTGCACTATGAACTTAGTGACCCGACTTTGACTGCTGGTCATGGTTAAGATTGGCGAGCTAATTATTAACCTATCCTGGGCACCGCCCCACCTCCTTCAGCATCCTCCATTGACCAGCGTGATGAACTATGGTCACACAACCCCCAAGATCAATATGGCACAGGAAGGCCTTCAGCATTAGATTAACAAATATCTGTTTAACACGTAGGCTTTCGCGACCAATATTATTCATGAAGGTTTTTGGGTTAGATCGCATAAGTATGTGTTCGTAACCCTCCACCACCTGACAGCCAATTAGTAAGGGCTTTTTCATGGAAACAAAACGTCAAATAGTTACCATTTCAGCCCACCGGTGTGTTGGATGTAATTATCATCGGGCAAATCGCCGATGATGCTGGATGTAATTACCAGCGAAACGTCGTACTCAGATTGTAAATGTCGTGGATTTACTCTCCCAACACATCGGTGGGCTGAAGTAGTAACTATTTGGTGTTTTGTTAACGTGACAAATCCCCTACTAATTGGCGGTGTTGGATGGTGGAGGGTTACGACACATTTATACTTACACGATCTAACCCAAAAAACCTTTATTATGAATAACCAATATCTGTAGCAGACAACAGTAAAGTGGACTATGGAGTGGGAGTTACAGTACACTGAGCGTACAGGGCGTGTGGCTGGTGTAGAACACGAAGGAAGCTCCAGGATGCAGAATGCACTTGCCGGTGTCGGGGCACGGTGTGAAAACTGCACTCTCCCCACCGGTTAGCGCCAGGCGGACCTCGTGGTAAAGGTACCTGGTGGAGGTACGACAGAGTTGCATTGCCATTAAGTCGCGGTGTATAAACAGCAACGATCGTTGATCACAGCTGTCTGTACACCGGTGACGTAGCTCAAGCAGCTCGCAGTCAACTGCCCCTCGAACAATCAACCGCTGACAACCTTGTGACCATCACAGTGAACAATTCAATCATCAAACCACTGTCACTATCTGTAGACGTAAAGACCTGAATCTCTATGTATATCTCAAATCCTCTAGGGTACTTCCCGACAAGGTAGAAAGCTGAAATTTGGTATATAGATAGCTTTTAGGACACGAATAACGTGAAAAATCAGAAAATCCGTCATTTTTCATTTTAAGGCCCCAAAATCTCGATATTAAGTGTCCCATAAAAATGTTTGTCATTCAGAAACCATTGAAAATATATTGCGTTTTTTTTCTTTTGACAGAGCATTAAACAGCAAATAAAATTCAAGCGAGAAGCATTGCTCTATATTTTGTTTTTGAGATATTTCAGATTCACGCAGTTTGGGATGAAAAAAATACGAAATTTATGTTCAAATCTGAATCATTCGAAAATGGTAAAAGATATGAGCTTCCCCTCAGAGTATTAGGTTCATTATTTTGTGTTCTTTCTAACAAAAAAGAACGAAATGTTTACAGTGAGCGGTTTCTGTTTGGTACATCTTTAAATATAAAAAGATGAATCAAGTCGTCAACAACTTTCGCTTTTTTTGCATAACTACAACATTTTGGAGTAGTTATTAGTGTTTGATCATAGATTTCAAAAAAATATCAGGTTAATTATATTTATTGAAAACGTTTGCCTGGTGAAGACAGGCTTCATGAACTACTAGTCTTTGAATAAAAAACATCAATTATTGGGAATATATGAAAGCGTCCATTCGTTGAATAAAACTGATTATTGCAATCATGATAAATGCACCAAATCCTAAGTGTAAGAATCGACTCTTTTTTATGCATATATTTTGTAAGGCTATCGCTAAATTACCCAAAATGTGCCCAATCTCATCTGGTCTTGGAAGCTAAGATAAGCTGGTTTTGGCCTGAATTGTGCTTTGATGGGTGACCATCTTGCACAACAGCCATTAAAGGCTTCAGGGATATATCGTTGGCTTTATAGGACATTGCAGCAAAATACAATGTTGCATTGTAGTTCTATGCTCCCACATCTATGCTCCTCACCGACACAAACTGCACCGACCAGCGTAGAGAAGTATACTCACAAATAACTCAAGAACTGCACGGTGTAAAGAGGCTCTCATCTAGCAGTGGATTGACAAAACTCTTTTACAATTAATATTCATGTTACCCCTGCAACCACCAAAGGATATATATATTAACCATTATACAATCTGATTTAAAGCTTTCGTGACTGCAGGGATTCATATTCTTGGTTCTTTCGGTAAAGTAACGTAGAAGGGAAACAATAAAATAAGAATATAAAAACAAAAAAATTCTCACGACGTTTCGACTGCAAACAATTTCCTTGCTGTGGGTTTCACACCTGATGATTGCTTGTGTTGCAGTCGAAACGTCGTGAGAATTTTATTGTTTATATTTGTATTTTATTGTTTCCCTTCTACGTGACTTTACCGAAAGAACCAAGAATACATTATACAATCTATTAATTAACCGAATCATGAGGTTGAAAATCATTAGATGCTTAGTCATCATTCTCATCGTCTATAGTAAGCCACCCCTAGCAGGGTATGGGGTCTGTGCAAGATCACCTCAAGAATCCTCTCCGTGCTATGACCTCGGCGTGGCTGTCATTTAAAACGTCGCCTGCACAACAAAACAGAGCAGTGGCTTCATACTCGAAGGGAGCACGTGAACACAAACACAGAGCTGTCAGCCCTGTTTGAGGGCCACCTTTATGCTATTGACAAGTTCATATAACCAGGGCTACATTATCATTCATAATACGGGCAACATTGCTTTAAAATGAGTACCATCGTGCGCTTTCAAATGCGCTTCTGCGGCCGTCTGGAACGATCTTCCGATATTTGGAAGCCAGTCGAGCTGTGCACCTTTAAATCTAGATTGAAAACTAATTTCATTAGAACTATTTTTTGTGTTTAGTTTGTTGTCCTTCCCCTGGCACCTCCGATCAGAGCACAGTTGGCTACGTATGGTGCGAAAGAAGTTCAACATATAGTACATACGTCCGTGCAACAACACTCTTGCCGATCTCAAAAGCAGCCTGATGAGTGAGCAACTTGCTTTACCAGTGCAAAAAGGGAATCTTACCGGCTTTGCTCATGCTTGATCGCCCGACGCATTTTGATCCAGTGCCCATGGACACCACTTCAAGACGCGCATCTTAGGGTAGGCAGAACGCATCGAGGTCAGGACATTGTCACGCCAATGTAATGTTCGCGAATGACGAATGCGACCGTGGAAACGTGCATCGAGTTAATGATGATTGCGTACAGGTAAGATAGTGCGGGACTTCGTGAATTTTCAGCACAGAGCACTTTGGTGCAATACAAGCACTTTTTATTCGCATCGCTGTACATATTGTTTTCTGATTCTACAAGGCGCTGGGCAGGGCAGACCGTCACGGACCAGAGTAGGGCGGTGACCAGGGCAGGGAGGAGGGCGGTGACCAGGGCAGGGAGGAGGGCGGTGACCAGGGCAGGGAGGAGGGCGGTGACCAGGGCAGGGAGGAGGGCGGTGACCTGGGCAAGGAGGAGGGCAGTGACCAGGGCAAGGAGGAGGGCAGTGACCAGGGCAGGGAGGAGGGCGGTGACCAGGGCAGGGAGGAGGGCGGTGACCAGGGCAGGGAGGAGGGCAGTGACCAGGGCAGGGAGGAGGGCAGTGACCAGGGCAGGGAGGAGGGCAGTGACCAGGGCAGGGAGGAGGGCATTGCTCAGAGTCGAGTGGCGGGCGGGCCGGACATCGCACGAACGAATTGGACCAACGAAAGACCACCCCGTGTACAAGGTAGTGCGAGGTATACAAGGCACTGGGCAGAGCACTGGGCAGTGCCGGATTATCCTTAGTAACAAAAGTAGCTACTACATATGTAGTAGCTACGGGCCCCACACTTCCAAGGGCCCCGCGCTAAAAGCTTTCAAGCTATCAATTTCCCTTCAGTGATTCTGCACTTGCTCTATTACTATAGTACTATACCGCCTTCAACTTTTATGAACGACTGGGTGTTTAAGGTTAGAAATTTGTCGTATTATCTGGCTGTATAGCAAATGAAAACTACAATTACATTATTATGCAAGTTAAAAATGTATGTGTTTTAATATATTTTTTTAATTTAGGGATACCTTATTAAAATATTCTACAGGCACCGCACTAGCTTAATCCGGCACTGCCACTGGGCATGGTAGGCAGCTGGTATGAGATAATCAGGGCAATATCCAGGACACGACGAGAGACCCAACATGGGGCTAAGAGGTCAAGTCATGGCAGATGGGAACGGCAGGGCCAAGGCAACGGCTAACAAAGGTCACGGCACGTGTTTAGGTCACGGGGCAGGGCACACCGCAAGGCGGGCCACTGTAAGCCAAGGGACAACGAATGGCAAGGCAATGATTGAGCCATGGGAATTGAATGTCAAGAGCAGGGCAGTGCAATAACAGGCCAGGGACAAGTTCATGCAATTCGCAAGACATTGCCATGCTAAAACAGGGCGGGCCATGGCAAAGTTTACACAGACCGGAGCAAAGGTTGGGTCCAGGGGCACGGGCAAAAAAAAAACATTGTGGAATAGTTAGACCGCACGGTTGGCTACTACGTACGGTGCGAAAGAAGTTCCACATGCATACCGGCAGGGAAAAAAAGGGGTCGTGGCCAGTACCTGACCTGCCGGGCGCGGTGGGCCCCCGCCTGAGCAGGACAGCCGCCAGCAAGGTCCACTCCCGGCCTCGCTCCGGTTTGCCCGTCCGCGGCAAGGCCTTCGCGTAATGGGCATGGCAAAGCGCCGTCACGTCGTCCTCCAGCGGCATGAGCTCGCCCGATTTCACGGCAAACAGATCTCGGGGGATCGGGAGTGAACTCGAGATCGCGATTAAAACGTTGCGAGTTGGGAGGAGCGTCGCTGTGCGCGGGCCTGCCAACATCGCCGCCGCGTCGATGTGTGACCCACGTGCGTTTACCCCAACGCGTTTCATTCCCATACAGCGCTTAAGCAGCAGCTCCGCATTTACCGTATTTGCTCAATCACGCGAGGTTTCGCTGGAAGTGAAAGACGCACCCGGGCCCAAAAACATAGCGACCGGTGTTCATCAATGAAGACACGCAGATTGAGTTTCACGCAGTAAACACGAAATATATATCGCGTGGTTATTTGACGCGGCTGCAGACTTCGAGTTAAAATACGATGAGGGTGTAGAGTCATTGTGCTCTGGAGCTTACGGTAATTGTCGGCAGCGCCTCTGACCAATAGCGGAACGCGCCAACCAATCGAGAGCGGCGAAGAGCCCCAGCGCGCCCCATCCACGCTGGGGAATGTGATGAGTGGTGGTCGACCCACGTGGTTTTTTGATGAGTGGTGGTCGACCCACGTGGTTTGTGATAAGTGGTGGTCGACCCACGTGGTTTGTGATGAGTGGTGGTCGACCCACGTGGTTTTTGATGAGTGGTGGTCGACCCACGTGGTTTTTGATGAGTGGTGGTCGACCCACGTGGTTTTTGATGAGTGGTGGTCGACCCACGTGGTTTGTGATGAGTGGTGGCCGACCCACGTGTTTTTTGATGGGTGGTGGTCGACCCACGTGGTTTGTGATGAGTGGTGGCCGACCCACGTGGTTTTTGATGAGCGGTGGCCGGCCCACGTGGTTTGAGATGAGTGGTGGCTGACCCACGTGGTTTGTGATGAGCGGTGGCCGACCCACGTGGTTTTTGATGAGTGGTGGCCGACCCACGTGGTTTTTGATGAGTGGTGGCCGACCCACGTGGTTTTTGATGAGTGGTGGTTGACCCACGTGGTTTGAGATGAGTGGTGGCCGACCCACGTGGTTTTTGATGAGTGGTGGTCGACCCACGTGGTTTGTGATGAGTGGTGGCCGACCCACGTGGTTTTTGATGGGTGGTGGTCGACCCACGTGGTTTGTGATGAGTGGTGGCCGACCCACATGGTTTTTGATGAGCGGTGGCCGACCCACGTGGTTTTTGATGAGTGGTGGCCGACCCACGTGGTTTTTGATGAGTGGTGGTCGACCCACGTGGTTTGTGATGAGTGGTGGCCGACCCACGTGGTTTTTGATGGGTGGTGGTCGACCCACGTGGTTTGTGATGAGTGGTGGCCGACCCACATGGTTTTTGATGAGCGGTGGCCGACCCACGTGGTTTTTGATGAGTGGTGGCCGACCCACGTGGTTTGTGATGAGTGGTGGCTGACCCACGTGGTTTTTGATGAGTGGTGGTTGACCCACGTGGTTTGAGATGAGTGGTCGCTGACCCACGTGGTTTGTGATGAGCGGTGGCCGACCCACGTGGTTTTTGATGAGTGGTGGCCGACCCACGTGGTTTTTGATGAGTGGTGGTCGACCCACGTGGTTTTTGATGAGTGGTGGTCGACCCACGTGGTTTTTGATGAGTGGTGGCCGAGCCACGTGGTTTTTGATGAGTGGTGGTCGACCCACGTGGTTTTTGATGAGTGGTGGTCGACTCACGTGGTTTGGGATAAGTGGTGGCTGACCCACGTGGTTTTTGATGAGTGGTGGTCGACCCACGTGGTTTGGGATGGGTGGTGGCTGACCCACGTGCTTTGGGATGAGTGGTGGTCGACCCATGTGGTTTTTGATGAGTGGTGGTCGACCCATGTGGTTTTTGATGAGTGGTGGTCAACCCACGTGGTTTGGGATGAGTGGTGGCTGACCCACGTGGTTTGTGATGAGCGGTGGCTGACCCACGTGGTTTGGGATGAGCGGTGGCCGACCCACGTGGTTTAGGATGAGTGGTGGCTGACCCACGTGGCTTGTGATGAGTGGTGGTCGACCCACGTGGTTTGTGATGAGTGGTTGTCGACCCACGTGGTTTGTGATGAGTGGTGGTCAACCCACGTGGTTTGTGATGAGTGGTGGTCGACGCACGTGGTTTGTGATGAGCGGTGGTCGACCCACGTGGTTTGTGATGAGTGGTGTGCCACCCACGTGGTTTGTGATGAGTGGTGGTCGACCAACGTGGTTTGTGATGAGTGGTGGTCGACCCACGTGGTTTGGGATGAGTGGTGGCTGACCCACGTGGCTTGTGATGAGTGGTGGTCGACCCACGTAGTTTGGGATGAGTGGTGGCTGACCCACGTGGTTTGGGATGAGTGGTGGCTGACCCACGTGGTTTAGGATGAGCGGTGGCTGACCCACGTGGTTTGCGATGAGTGGTGGCTGACCCACGTGGCTTGTGATGAGTGGTGGTCGACCCACGTGGTTTTTGATGTGTGGTGATCGACCCACGTGATTTGTGATGAGCGGTGGTCGACCCACGTGGTTTGTGATGAGTGGTGGTCGACCCACGTGGTTTTTGATGAGTGGTGGTCGACCCACGTGGTTTGTGATGAGTGGTGGTCGACCCACGTGGTTTTTGATGAGTGGTGGTCGACCCACGTGGTTTTTGATGAGTGGTGGTCGACCCACGTGGTTTTTGATGAGTGGTGGTCGACTCACGTGGTTTTTGATGAGTGGTGGTCGACCCACGTGGTTTGTGATGAGTGGTGGCCGACCCACGTGTTTTTTGATGGGTGGTGGTCGACCCACGTGGTTTGTGATGAGTGGTGGCCGACCCACGTGGTTTTTGATGAGTGGTGGCCGACCCACGTGGTTTTTGATGAGTGGTGGCCGACCCACGTGGTTTGTGATGAGTGGTGGCCGACCCACGTGGTTTTTGATGAGTGGTGGTTGACCCACGTGGTTTGAGATGAGTGGTGGCTGACCCACGTGGTTTGTGATGAGCGGTGGCCGACCCACGTGGTTTTTGATGAGTGGTGGCCGACCCACGTGGTTTTTGATGAGTGGTGGTCGACCCACGTGGTTTGTGATGAGTGGTGGCCGACCCACGTGGTTTTTGATGGGTGGTGGTCGACCCACGTGGTTTGTGATGAGTGGTGGCCGACCCACGTGTTTTTTGATGGGTGATGGTCAACCCACGTGGTTTGTGATGAGTGGTGGCCGACCCACGTGGTTTTTGATGAGTGGTGGTCGACCCACGTGGTTTGTGATGAGTGGTGGCCGACCCACGTGTTTTTTGATGGGTGGTGGTCGACCCACGTGGTTTGTGATGAGTGGTGGCCGACCCACGTGGTTTTTGATGAGCGGTGGCCGACCCACGTGGTTTTTGATGAGTGGTGGCCGACCCACGTGGTTTGTGATGAGTGGTGGCCGACCCACGTGGTTTTTGATGAGTGGTGGTTGACCCACGTGGTTTGAGATGAGTGGTGGCTGACCCACGTGGTTTGTGATGAGCGGTGGCCGACCCACGTGGTTTTTGATGAGTGGTGGCCGACCCACGTGGTTTTTGATGAGTGGTGGTCGACCCACGTGGTTTGTGATGAGTGGTGGCCGACCCACGTGGTTTTTGATGGGTGGTGGTCGACCCACGTGGTTTGTGATGAGTGGTGGCCGACCCACATGGTTTTTGATGAGCGGTGGCCGACCCACGTGGTTTTTGATGAGTGGTGGCCGACCCACGTGGTTTGTGATGAGTGGTGGCCGACCCACGTGGTTTTTGATGAGTGGTGGTTGACCCACGTGGTTTGAGATGAGTGGTGGCTGACCCACGTGGTTTGTGATGAGCGGTGGCCGACCCACGTGGTTTTTGATGTGTGGTGATCGACCCACGTGATTTGTGATGAGCGGTGGTCGACCCACGTGGTTTGTGATGAGTGGTGGTCGACCCACGTGGTTTTTGATGAGTGGTGGTCGACCCACGTGGTTTGTGATGAGTGGTGGTCGACCCACGTGGTTTTTGATGAGTGGTGGTCGACCCACGTGGTTTTTGATGAGTGGTGGTCGACTCACGTGGTTTTTGATGAGTGGTGGTCGACCCACGTGGTTTGTGATGAGTGGAGGCCGACCCACGTGTTTTTTGATGGGTGGTGGTCGACCCACGTGGTTTGTGATGAGTGGTGGCCGACCCACGTGGTTTTTGATGAGCGGTGGCCGACCCACGTGGTTTTTGATGAGTGGTGGCCGACCCACGTGGTTTGTGATGAGTGGTGGCCGACCCACGTGGTTTTTGATGAGTGGTGGTTGACCCACGTGGTTTGAGATGATTGTTGGCTGACCCTCTTGGTTTGGGATGAGCGGTGGATGACCCACGTGGTTTGGGATGAGTGGTGGTCAATCCACGTGGTTTGTGATGAGCGGTGGATGACCCACGTAGTTTGGGATGAGTGGTGGCTGACCCACGTGGTTTGGGATGAGTGGTGGCTGACCCACGTGGTTTAGGATGAGCGGTGGCTGACCCACGTGGTTTGCGATGAGTGGTGGCTGACCCACGTGGCTTGTGATGAGTGGTGGTCGACCCACGTGGTTTTTGATGTGTGGTGATCGACCCACGTGATTTGTGATGAGCGGTGGTCGACCCACGTGGTCTGTGATGAGTGGTGGTCGACTCACGTGGTTTGGGATGAGTGGTGGCCGACCCACGTGGTTTGGGATAAGCGGTGGCCCACCCACGTGGTTTGTGATGAGTGGTGGTCGACCCACGTGGTTTGTGATGAGTGGTGGTCGACCCACGTGGTTTGGGATGAGTGGTGGCTGACCCACGTGGCTTGTGATGAGTGGTGGTCGACCCACGTGGTTTGGGATGAGTGGTGGCTGACACACGTGGTTTGGGATGAGTGGTGGCTGACCCACGTGGTTTGGAATGAGCAGTGGCCGACCCACGTGGTTTGGGATGAGCGGTGGATGCCCCACGTGGTTTGGGATGAGCGGTGGCCGACCCACGTGGTTTGGGATGCGCGGTGGATGACCCACGTGGTTTGGGATGAGCGGTGGCCGACCCACGTGGTTTGGGATGAGCGGTGGATGACCCACGTGGTTTGGGATGAGCGGTGGCCGACCCACGTGGTTTGTGATGAGCGGTGGCCGACCCACGTCGTTTGGGATAAGTGGTGGCTGACCCACGTGGTTTGGGATGAGTGGTGCTGACCCACGTGGTTTGGGATAAGCGGTGGCCGACCCACGTGGTTTGTGATGAGTGGTGGTCGACCCACGTGGTTTGTGATGAGCGGTGGTCGACCCACGTGGTTTGGGATGAGTGGTGGCTGACCCACGTGGCTTGTGATGAGCGGTGGCTGACACACGTGGTTTGGGATGAGTGGTGGCTGACCCACGTGGCTTGGGATGAGTGGTGGCTGACCCACGTGGTTTGGAATGAGCGGTGGCCCACCCACGTGGTTTGGGATGAGCGGTGGCCGACCCACGTGGTTTGGGATGAGCGGTGGCCGACCCACGTGGTTTAGGATGAGCGGTGGATGACCCACGTGGTTTGGGATGAGCGGTGACCGACCCACGTCG